GATAATAACGATAATATGTTAATGATAATTCTAGTGGTACGCATAGAGGGTTATGATTATGTATATTATATATATATACACATCGTGATCCTGGAGTAGAAAGAATATTGAAATGTCAAAAACACCTCCACATGAAAACTGAAAACAATGTTGAACATTGAATCAGAATGTAATATCTACTTCAGGATGAATATATATAAGATTAGATTAGATTAGATTAGATTTGACTAGAATAGATAAGATGAGATTTGATTTGAATAGATTGAATAGATTGAATAGATTGAATAGATTAGACTACATTAGATTAGATTCGATATATATATATATATAAATTGTATTTAAACAGTTCTCGCACACTTTCCAAATTACATTTTGTTTTGCAGATAGCGTATATGGTATTAGTATATAATCCCCCAAAAGTTACAACATGTAAATCCGACAAACAAAAAATAGTCATAAACAACTTGTCTATTTTTTTCGGGCAACCATTCACATATTCTATCTCCTTCATAATAACTATATTTATGTATATATATATACATATGATATATATATATATATGATATATATATATGATATATATATATATACCCTCTGGTAATTTAACATAGCTATGGAAAATCACCATTTTATAGCTGGGTAAATCCACTATTTCGACTGGGCCATGTTCAATAGCAAACTGTAAACGTTTACCAGAGGGTATGTAAATATGTGATTATATGGGTTATAACTCCAATAACTATGGTTTTTATTGGTGATACATCGAACTACCGTAGATGGACGAAATATTCAAACCCCTTCTATCCGGTACAACCCCCTCGCCCCCAAAGTTCAATGTTATTGTAACCTGAAGTGCGTTAGCCCCAATGGACGAAAAAAATCAAACCCCTAACATCACTTTTGCTAACACGCGCGCTGAAACATTGAGATTTGGGGGCGCGGGGGTTCACCATAGTGCGTGCTGCAGGGTTTGAATATTTTGTTCATCTACTGTCTCGTTCTCTGATGTTTTCACATCTATTGGTCTCCAAACTCTGTTGTGGAAACATCAATGTGCATGCTGCTGATCTTCTTCCAAACTGCGCAAAACATTGGCTTTTCACAAGTAAATGCCTCCTGTCTGTCTCCCGTCCCATTTTTTTCTATTCCCTAATTCGCAACTTATTCCTAAGTGCACAAAACACTGTGTTTTCACAGGTAAGTGCAACCTTTGTGCTTCCCGTCCCATTTGTTTCTATTCCCTAATTCGCAACTTATTCCAAACTGCAAAAAACAACGTGTTTTCACAGGTAAATGCTGCATGTGTCTCTCGTCCCATTTTTTCCTATTCCCTAATTCAAAACTTATTCCAACATGCGCAAAACATTGTGTTTTCACAGGTAGATGTGCATGTCTCTCTCGTCCCATTTTTTCCTATTCCCTAATTCACGACTTATTCGTTTGACGTGGCCCTGCCAATGGATTTTGTCATTTGTGACGTGCTGCTTCTTTTTAAGAGAAAAATATTTCCTATTTTTAATTAGGAGGTGTCTCATGCTGTTCAAGTTGCAAAATCCATTGGCAGGGCCACGTCAAACGAATAAGTCGTGAATTAGGGAATAGGAAAAAATGGGACGAGAGAGGCATGCAGTGAAAACACAATGTTTTGCGCATGTTGAAATAAGTTGTGAATTAGGGAATAGGGAAAAATGGGACGAGAGACACATGCAGCATTTACCTGTGAAAACACAATGTTTTTTGCAGTTTGGAATAAGTTGCGAATTAGGGAATAGAAAAAAATGGGACGGGAAGCACAAAGGTTGCACTTACGTGTGAAAACACAATGTTTTTTGCACTTAGGAATAAGTTGCGAATTAGGGAATAGAAAAAATGGGACGGGAGATAGAGAGGAGGCATTTACTTGTGAAAAGCCAATGTTTTGTGCACCTTGGAAGAAGATCAGCAGCATGCACATTGATGTTTCCACAACAGAGTTTGGAGACCAAAAGATGTGAAAACATCAGAGAGCGAGACGGTACCAACTGGGGTGTGCGGCATGCCGCACGCCCCAGTTGGTACCGTAGATGGACGAAATATTCAAACCCCTTCTATCCGGTACAACCCCCTCGCCCCCAAAGTTCAATGTTATTGTAACCTGAAGTGCGTTAGCCCCAATGGACGAAAAAAATCAAACCCCTAACATCACTTTTGCTAACACGCGCGCTGAAACATTGAGATTTGGGGGTGCGGGGGTTCAACGTAGTGCGTGCTGCAGGGTTTGAATATTTTGTCCATCTACTGTCTCGTTCTCTGATGTTTTCACATCTTTTGGTCTCCAAACTCTGTTGTGGAAACATCAATGTGCATGCTGCTGATCTTCTTCCAAACTGCGCAAAACATGGGCTTTTCACAAGTAAATGCCTCCTGTCTGTCTCCCGTCCCATTTTTTCTATTCCCTAATTCGCAACTTATTCCTAAGTGCACAAAACATTGTGTTTTCACAGGTAAGTGCAACCTTTGTGCTTCCCGTCCCATTTTTTTCTATTCCCTAATTCTCAACTTATTCCAAACTGCAAAAAACATTGTGTTTTCACGGGTAAATGCTGCATGTGTCTCTCGTCCCATTTTTTCCTATTCCCTAATTCACAACTTATTCCTAAGTGCACAAAACATTGTGTTTTCACGGGTAGATGTGCATGTCTCTCTCGTCCCATTTTTTCCTATTCCCTAATTCAGGACTTATTCGTTTGACGTGGCCCTGCCAATGGATTTTGTCATGTGTGACGTGCTGCTTCTTTTTAAGAGAAAAATATTTCCTATTTTTAATTAGGAGCTGTCTCATGTTGTTCAAGTTGCAAAATCCATTGGCAGGGCCACGTCAAACGAATAAGTCCTGAATTAGGGAATAGGAAAAAATGGGACGAGAGAGACATGCACATCTACCCGTGAAAACACAATGTTTTGTGCACTCAGGAATAAGTTGTGAATTAGGGAATAGGAAAAAATGGGACGAGAGACGCATGCAGCATTTACCCGTGAAAACACAATGTTTTTTGCAGTTTGGAATAAGTTGCGAATTGGGGAATAGGAAAAAATGGGACGGGAAGCACAAAGGTTGCACTTACCTGTGAAAACACAATGTTTTGTGCACTTAGGAATAAGTTGCGAATTAGGGAATAGAAAAAAATGGGACGGGAGACAGACAGTAGGCATTTACTTGTGAAAAGCCAATGCCTTGCTCAGTTTGGAAGAAGATCAGCAGCATGCACATTGATGTTTCCACAACAGAGTTTGGAGACCAAAAGATGTGAAAACATCAGAGAGCGAGACGGTACCAACTGGGGTGTGCAGCATGCCGCACACCCCAGTTGGTACCGTAGATGGACGAAATATTCAAACCCCTTCTATCCGGTACAACCCCCTCGCCCCCAAAGTTCAATGTTATTGTAACCTGAAGTGCGTTAGCCCCAATGGACGAAAAAAATCAAACCCCTAACACCACTTTTGCTAACACACGCGCTGAAACATTGAGATTTGGGGGTGCGGGGGTTCAACATAGTGCGTGCTGCAGGGTTTGAATATTTTGTCCATCTACTGTCTCGTTCTCTGATTTTTCACATCTTTTGGTCTCCAAACTCTGTTGTGGAAACATCAATGTGCGTGCTGCTGATCTTCTTCCAAACTGCGCAAAACATTGGCTTTTCACAAGTAAATGCCTCCTGTCTGTCTCCCGTCCCATTTTTGTCTATTCCCTAATTCGCAACTTATTCCTAAGTGCACAAAACATTGTGTTTTCACAGGTAAGTGCAACCTTTGTGCTTCCCGTCCCATTTTTTTCTATTCCCTAATTCGCAACTTATTCCAAACTGCAAAAAACATTGTGTTTTCACGGGTAAATGCTGCATGTGTCTCTCGTCCCATTTTTTCCTATTCCCTAATTCACAACTTATTCCTAAGTGCACAAAACATTGTGTTTTCACGGGTAGATGTGCATGTCTCTCTCGTCCCATTTTTTCCTATTCCCTAATTCAGGACTTATTCGTTTGACGTGGCCCTGCCAATGGATTTTGTCATGTGTGACGTGCTGCTTCTTTTTAAGAGAAAAATATTTCCTATTTTTAATTAGGAGCTGTCTCATGTTGTTCAAGTTGCAAAATCCATTGGCAGGGCCACGTCAAACGAATAAGTCCTGAATTAGGGAATAGGAAAAAATGGGACGAGAGAGACATGCACATCTACCCGTGAAAACACAATGTTTTGTGCACTCAGGAATAAGTTGTGAATTAGGGAATAGGAAAAAATGGGACGAGAGACACATGCAGCATTTACCCGTGAAAACACAATGTTTTTTGCAGTTTGGAATAAGTTGCGAATTAGGGAATAGAAAAAATGGGACGGGAAGCACAAAGGTTGCACTTACCTGTGAAAACACAATGTTTTGTGCACTTAGGAATAAGTTGCGAATTAGGGAATAGAAAAAAATGGGACGGGAGACAGACAGGAGGCATTTACTTGTGAAAAGCCAATGTTTTGCGCAGTTTGGAAGAAGATCAGCAGCATGCGCATTGATGTTTTCACAACAGAGTTTGGAGACCAAAAGATGTGAAAACATCAGAGAGCGAGACGGTACCAACTGGGGTGTGCGGCATGCCGCACGCCCCAGTTGGTACCGTAGATGGACGAAATGTTCAAACCCCTTCTATCCGGTACAACCCCCTCGCCCCCAAAGTTCAATGTTATAACCTGAAGTGCGTTAGCCCCAATGGACGAAAAAAATCAAACCCCTAACATCACTTTTGCTAACGCACGCGCTGAAACATTGAGATTTGGGGTGCGGGGGTTCAACATAGTGCGTGCTGCAGGGTTTGAATATTTTGTCCATCTACTGTTGTAAATATGTGCATGGATGCATGTGTGCATGTGTGCATGTTCTATTTGTATGCGTGTTTGCAAGCATGTATGTAGGTATGAACTCACTTTGCACTTTGCAGGGTCATTGCACTGATCTTTTTGCATTTCATTCAAGTGTCCATGTCTCGCATGAGAATCCGCTGGCGCTTGTCGAAGGTTGGTCGTCGCTCATGTTGTAGATGGCAATATTCACAAGCATCTCCCATGTTGCATTCTCCTTTGGAGAAGCGGATGCACGGACGGCGGCATAGGTGGGGATGTCCAAGGCTTCCATTGCCTCCACGCTTCTCCGGCATCACAGCCCCAACATCAACTGGAACTGGATGCACCGGTTCCTGCTCAGGCACGGCTGGTGCCGCAACGGCTGGTGCCGCAACGGCTGGTGCCGCAACGGCTGGTGCCGCAACGGCTGGTGCCGCAACGGCTGGTGCCGCAACGGCTGGTGCCGCAACGGCTGGTGCCGGCGGAGGTACAGGCGGCGCAGGGACTGGTGGCACTGCCTGCGCTGGTGGGAAATTGGTGCTGGTCCTCTGCTGCAGGTGGGCCACATACTCAGCATACTCCGCATTGGATGCGTCCTGCGGTTGAACTTGTTTCCTCTCTTGCATATTTAGGATGTGAGAAAACCGCGGAAACTCTTCCCAGGTTGACGGCAGCTGGTTTAGATTCAATTTCAATATCATTTCCGGTGAAAAAGTCCCCCTTCGCAACCCTTTGCGAATTCAATTTTCCTGTGAAACAAAAGGGCCCTCCTCCTCGCTTCGATTACCCAGCGCCGGTTCGCTCTGAGAACGACGCATGGCGGGTGCATCGACGAGGTCTTCATCGATGAAGGTGCGAAGATATCGAAAGTTCACCATTGCAGTCAAGATCGAATATCAGATCACTGGTTCGAACTAGCTACGGGCGCTTGCCCCCTTGCCCATTTTGAGCAAATCACATAACATGAAGGCAAGTATGAGCGACAGCATAACGGAACATCCTCTTGGCTGAAGAGGCGAGAATCCCTTTTGTTGCCAACATGCAGCTAGGACTTTCACTCCTGATAGAACATGATAGAACTGCAAGCCGCTTCCGAATTATGTCGACATGAACGGGACAGGTGACCGACAGGTGATTTTCATAGCTCGGCAAATCCGGCCTTCACGACCTAATCCTGCCGGAGCCATGAAGAGCTCCAGTGAAGAGCGGCATCCTGCGCAGCAATGGGGTATCGCACGTGAATTCTCATTCTCAGGAAATCAGAGCACATCTCAGAAAGGGCTTCTCCTTGTCTCTCCTTGCCCCATCAGCAACAACTTGGATCCAGTATTGTCAACGTATGGTTGAGCTATGTTGAGATCCAGGAATCCAGTTTAAATCTTTTCAAAAGACGCACGACTTCAACTTCTTGGCAGCTGCAAAGACCGCGGAGCGTGCCACCATCGGCCGTTTGGCCGGCGCTTTGGCCGCAGCAGGCAGCCCGCGCGGATTGGCCGTCTCATTCCGATGTTCCCGGAAGGTTGGCATGTAGTGCGGCTCCTGGGCAATTGCTGATCGCACTCACTCACATGTTTATACCGTAGAATTATATCATATAACACCTCCAGTCGCAATCCCATGTGTATATCTAGTTCCACAACAAGAAAGATACTTTCGCTGACCCAACAAATGCAACCACATCGGTCTGCACATAAGCTACACCCATACCCCATTCCCATCCACTTGAGTTTATCATCGCCACGACTCCCGTTGCGGCCGGACCCGCAACGACCCCCTGGCAAGGCGCACCTGGGGAGCTGGCGCCTCGCTGAACCAAAGATGTTGCAACGAGCTGCTGGCACTGGAACGCTTCTGGGGATCGAAGGTCAGCAGGCGGTTCAAGAGGTCTAGGCCTGGACCGACGCATGTGACGAACTTCTGGGATATGATTGATATGATTGATGTGATTGATATGATTGATATGATTAGGACTTGTGGTTAGTAGCTATTGGTAGTGAATATATCTACCAGTAGTACCCGCACGAGGCGGGGCGGAAGTTGCCTTAGGGATACATAAGACCTTTCTCATCTATAGAACTTGCATGTGCCGTGCGCCAGCCAAGCCCGTGCGTGCGTACATTCTGTGAAAGTTGTGTCCTGTTTCGCATGTCACATTTGAAGCTCCACTTCGCACTTCGCACTTCACACTTCTCACTGCACTCTTCACACTCGACACTCCACACTTCACACTTCACACTCCACACTTCACACTTCACACTGCACTCTTCACACTCCACACTTCACTTCACACTGCACTCTTAAGACTCCACACTTCACACTCCACACTTCACACTTCAGACTTCACAGTCCACACTTCACATTTTTCTGCTTTCTTCAGACTCCACACTCCACACTTCACACTTCACACTCCACACTTCACACTTCACTCTTCACACTTACACTGCACTCTCCACGCCCCCCACTTCACACTGCACTCTTCACACTCCACACTTCACACTCAACACTTCATCTCATCTAAGCTCTTCTCACCTTATCCCAGCTCATCTCTTCTCATCTCATCTCTTCTCATATGTCACCTAAGCTTTCATGAATCACTTCCCAGCACTACTTCGAGAACTTGCATGCGCCGTGCGCCAGCCAGGCCAGTGGGTGCGTGCTTTGTGCGAAGCTGTTGCAGTGTTGTTGTCCAAGAGCATGACCTGCGCGCGACCCCGGTGCAACGCAACGTCAAGCAAACACTTTCCTCACACTTCACATTGCACTCTTCACACCCCACACTCCACACTTCACACTTCATCTCAACTCATCTCATCTGAGCTCTTCTCATCTCATTTCATGTCTTCCCATATGTCAGCTAAGTTTTCTTGGCTATTTTCATGTCATCTGGGCGCAGCTCAACCTTTCTCATCTCACCCAAGCTAGTCTCAACTCATCTCGGCTCTTCTGCACAGAAAGCTTGAGGCACAGGTGCATTTACACAGAAGAGTCTTTACAAAATACTTTGTACCACAAAGCTTGCACAAAGCACGCCCCAGTACTACTTTGTACTACAAAGCTTGCACAAACTACTTCCCAGTACTACTGTGCACTGCAAGGCTTGCACAAAGTACGTCCCAGTACTACTTTGTATTACACAGCTTGCACAAAGCACGTTCCAGTACCACTTTGTACTACAGAGCTTGCACTAAGTACTTCCCAGTACCACTTTGTACTACAAAGCTTGCACAAAGTTGTTCCCAGTACTACTTTGTACTACACAGCTTGCACAAAGCACTTCCCAGCACTACTTTGTACTACAATGCTTGCAAAGCACTTCCCAGTACTACTTTGTACTACACAGCTTGCGCAAAGCACTTCCCAGTACTACTTTGTACTACGAAGCTTACACAAAGCACTTCCCAGTACTACTTTGTACTACACAGCTTGCACAAAGCACTTCCCAGTACTACTGTGTACTACAAAGCTTGCACAAAAGGCTTCCCAGCAATACTTTGTACTACACAAAGCTTGCACCCAGTACTACTTGATACTACAAAGCTTGAAAAAAGTACTTCCCAGTACTACTTTGTACTACGAAGCCTGCGCAAAGCACTTCCCAGCACTACTTTGTACTACAAAGCTTGCGCAAAGTACGTTCCAGTACTACTTTGTGATACAAAGCTTGCACAAAGAAAGCTTTCACACACAGCAAGTTCTTTCGCAGAGAAACTTTTACACACAGCAAGCTTTTTAAACAGAGAAGCTTTTACACACAGAGAAGCTTTTACACACAACAAGCTTTTACACAGGGAAGCTTTTACACACAGCAAGCTTTCACACACAGCAAGCGTTTACACACAGAACACTTACACACAGTGCTTTTGCACATGGCAAGCGTTTGCACACACAGCAAGCTTTTTAAACAGAGAAGCTTTTACACACAGAGAAGCTTTTACACACAACAAGCTTTTACACAGAGAAGCTTTTACACACAGCAAGCTTTCACACACAGCAAGCGTTTACACACAGAACACTTATACACAGTGCTTTTACACATGGCAAGCTTTTGCACACACAGCAAGCTTTTTAAACAGAGAAGCTTTTACACACAGAGAAGCTTTTACACACAACAAGCTTTTACTCAGAGAAGCTTTTACACACAACAAGCTTTTACTCAGAGAAGCTTTTACACACAGCAAGCTTTCACACACAGCAAGCGTTTACACACAGAACACTTACACACAGTACTTTTACACATGGCAAGCGTTTACACACACAGAAACTTTTACACAGAGACGCTTTTACACACAGGGAAGCTTTTAATTTTACACACAGCAAGCTTTTACACACAAAATCTTTTACACACAGCAAGCTTTTACAGAAATTACTTTACTTCGAGTGATCCCCACCATGACATTTATCGATTTGTTACTGGCAAATCTTCTGGCATTCTATCTGACATATCTTCTGGCATTCGATCCGGCATTCTATCTGGCATATCTTCTGGCATTCTATCTGGTATATCTTCTGGCATTCTATCTGGCATATCTTCTGGCATTCTATTTGGCATATCTCATGGAATTTTATCTGGCATATCTTCTGGCATTCCATCTGACATTCTATCTGGCATATCTTCTGGCATTCCATCTGACATTCTATCTGGCATATCTTCTGGCATTCTATCTGCCCGTTGAGGTCCAGCAGTGCACACTGAGCTGGGGAGGTCCCCGGTTGAGGTCCAGCGGTGCACACTGCGCTGGGCAAATCCCAGGTTGAGGTCCAGCGGTGCACACTGGGCTGGGCAGGTCCCAGGTTCAGGTCCAGCGGTGCACACTGAGCTTGAGGTCCAGCGGTGCACACTGAGCTGGGCAGGTCCCAGGTTGAGGTCCCAGTGCACACTGAGCTGGGAAGTTGGCAAAGAGCTTGGCGAAGAGTTGGCAAGGCGGAAGTGGAGGTGGAAGTTGATGCAGACATGGTCGAGGAGAAACTAGAGGGGGAGGAGGAGGAGGACGAGGAGGAGGAGAACAGCTCTGATAAAATCTAACAACCCTCACCTGGCAGGTGGGGAAAAATACACAGAGAAGCTTTCTTGTACATAATCACAACAGGAATTGCAGCTCCAAAACCGGATGGATCTCGATGCCGAAGCGAAAAAAAGGCGATTTTGAAACACTTTTTAAAAGGACTTCAAAAGGAGTCAAAATTGAGAAAATCTGCTGGCAAATCACTTTCGCAGCCTTGATGCAGCCACTCCAAGACGATTTACGAGATCCAGCTGCACAAGACAATAGTATTACGCATGCAGCCGCGGCACCAAGCAACCTTGACGCAGCCATTACAATGCGTTTCGCCGCATCACGTCGCAAACCTGCATGGATCTACGCACATGGCAACACCAGATGACAACAATCATGCAGCCATTCCACTGCGATCTGCAACCACAGATTCAAGACACGCAAAGAACTACGCACACCCGTTGCAGAACACAAAGGAGGAACATATTCGCGGCTGAAACGACCCCAGCCACATCCACCGCACACACGAGGTACCTTTCATCGCCGGCTGCGACCACTTTACACGGAAAAAACAGACGGTTTCGTGCTCCGGCTTCCCCCCCAACACAAGCCCCACGCAACATTCATGCAGCCATTACAATGCATGTTGCAGCATCACGTGGCTAACCCGCATCTCTCTACGTACATGGCAACACCAGATGACAACAATCATGCAGCCATTCCACTCAGATCTGCAACCACAGATTCAAAACATGCAAAGAACTAAGTACGCACACAGGAACAACCATTCGTTGCAGAACACAAAGGAGGAACACATTCGCGGCTGAAACGACCCCAGCCACACCCGCCGCACACACGAGGGACCTTTCATCGCCAGCTGCAACCACTTTATGCGGAAAAATACAAGGTTTCGTGCTCCGGCTTCCTCCCCAACACAAGCCCCATGCAACGTTCATGCAGCCATCACAATGCATTTTGCAGCATTCCCTTCATCACCACTTCCTTCGTCACCACTTCCCTTAGTCACCACTTCCTTCGTCACCACTTCCCAAAGTCACCACTTCCCAAAGTCACCACATTCCGTTCGTCACCACTTCCCAAAGTCACCACTTCCCTTCGTCACCACTTCCCATCGTCACCACTTCCCTTCGTCACCACTTCCCAAAGTCACCACTTCCCAAAGTCACCACACTCCCTTCGTCACCACTTCCCTTCGTCACCACTTCCCAAAGTCACCACACTCCCTTCGTCACCACTTCCCAAAGTCACCACTTCCCTTAGTCACCACTTCCCAAAGTCACCACATTCCCTTCGTCACCACTTCCCAAAGTCACCACACTCCCTTTGTCACCAGACTCCCTTCGTCACCAGACTCCCTTCGTCACCACTTCCCTTCGTCACCACTTCCCGTCGTCACCACTTCCCTTCGTCACCACTTCCCAAAGTCACCATTTCCCTAGGTGATGTATTGTTATGTGATGACAAGTCTCACACCGCCCTTGTCAAAGCCTATTATTGTTTTGTGATGTATGGTTATGTGATGTCAAGTCTCACACCACCCTTCATCAATGTCAAATTCTTTTGGGATGTATTGTTATGTGATGTCAAGTCGCACACCACCCTTCATCAATGTCAAGTCTCACAATTCTATTTGTCCGTAACACGGAAGTATTGCTTCCCAACTTCCTTTGATGATAATATTAGATGACCTATACAATGTGATGATCGTGGTTAGTAGTTGACCTGGTATTATATTTGTTAGTGGTGATGATAAAATAGTTATTGTCCTAGTAATTCTTAGTATAGTTATTATGGTAGAAGAATAGATGACTACTATTCTGAGTATTTTGATCATTAGTAGTATTCTTAGCAGTATGATTATAATTATTACTACTACCTTTATTATTATTAGTAGTAGTAGTAGCAGTAGGATGATTGCTACCATTGTATTCACATTTGTGCATATATTCATATACTAAGAAATAGGAGTTGTAATACGAGTAACATATCATATATATATATATGTTATGATGACCATATATGTAGATGCTATCTACAATAATTAATGTATCCTGCCATTTTAGGTTCGCCAGTGCTTGTCTGGCCCACAAATTCGAACAGGTCAGAACAACGAGGTTTTCAGTTGGGGGACCAACTCGAACTCGGGCACACCACCCACCTTTCCAACAGGGATAAATCTATCACTGGGCGCTCCCTGGAAGCATGTGGATGCAATGTCCATAGCATCATGTTTTTGTCTGGAAAATTCCTGACCCCAAAACCGTGCAAATCCCCAAAAAGTAGATGCATATGCTGCATATGTTCAGATAATTTCAATTTTAAAAGTAGATACATATGTTCTTCAGGTGTTCAAATATGTCTACATTCACTTTGTATGTGCACTTGCAAAACGCCGAGCGCACACGGCCCGTGCACGTGGCTGGCAAAAAGAGGCAATCCCAAGTATCCCAAGCCCAGTCGGGTTGAGTCATGCTCGCATAAATGCCAATTAGTGACACAAAGAACTTCTCTTCAAAGTGAAATAAACAGATTAGATCTCAAACCTGATCTCAGGATCACGCAAATGGATTCCCAGACAAAAACGGACAGCGCGAGCCAAATATGGAAGGATCTGACGGTTCATCATGGCCATGGGACAGCTATCGGGAAGGTCTGGAAATTTCAGGCCCAAGTTGTTGTAGATATTCTCCGGCAATTTGGAGGCTGCATAATGCCTCAATCCAGCGTGAAATTGGAGGCATTGTACCTCTAGGATTTTAGACCAGATCACCAATTTTGACAGGAGAGGACCATGATACATCAACTCAAACACCATGATCATCCACAGGCTGACAGGACATGGCAATCTTCCCATCAAAAGACATCTGTCACTCGGTGGTACAATCATGGGACAACTTCGTCGAGCTACGGAAGTTTTTCCACACCAGGCCAAATTCTGGGTGTGGGTGTCCCAAGCAACTCACAGGTGAGAACGAGTTGGTGCTCCTGCCATCCAGATCCAGCAAGCCTTGGATTCGCTTGGAACAACATGACCGAAAACATCCCAATGGAATCCACTGAATCCACTGTCCAACATCTTTCGCTTCAAAATTGAGGTTTTCCAGCCAAGTTTGCCAGAGAATCCCCAGATAGGAGACACTTCGTGAAAGTATCGGAAAGTTACTCTGATTGCAGAGCCCTAGTCGCAAAACACTGCTATCAACCTGAGTCTAAGTTCTATTTATTCCACATCTCTAGCATGCTCAAAAAAGGATCAGGGATACCCTCCGGTAAACTAACGTAACTATGGAAAAATCACCATTTTTCATGGGAAAACTCACTATAAATGGCCATGTTCAATAGCTATGTTAAATTACCAGAGGGTATGTGCCATCAAAACATGGTATCTGGATGTATCTGGTAATCCAAGTCATTAGGATGTTTCCACAGCCTTCCACAGCATAGCCAGGCTGTCCAGTCAGGATGTTTAACCATTTTATGGCGAGGATTGAGCCGGTTAAAAATTCACATTTTTCCACCAAAAAATACCCCAAAAACCAAGTCATTCAGATTTTTCCATAATTGTCCAGTTTGTTTATTGCCATTAATGTGGGCAACACAATGTCATAAACCATCCACAAGTCATCACCATTTTTATGGGTGGTATAAACCATCAAACATGTGCAGGATGGGGCCCCAGTTCGTTGGCTAAGTTGGTGCAAATAACTATGTCATAACCATAGTGTATGGTACGCAAATAACTAAATTTAGATGGGGCCCCATAAACCAACAAACATAGCTGGAGGGCCCCATCCTGTATCATATCCCAATAATTTTGACTAAATTAATGACCATATATTGGTTTAATGGTTAATTGGTGACTAATGGTGACTAAATAAATGGTGTTTATTGGTGATTAATATCATGTGACCATATCATAATCAATGACCATGATTACAAAGAAAAACCCACATTGCTATTTGGACCCCTGTACTAAATATAGTATATATCTATAGTATCATATGTGTATCTATATATATATATATATCAAAGAGAATATATTACCATTTATAATTACTCCTATATTATTACTATTATATGATCATTATTTATTACCATATATCCATATCTGTAGTATCATAAATATATGGTAATATCTATGGTAATTTTATGATAATCATAATATCTATTCTCATTTTATATTACCATAGATATTACCATTTTTAAAAAATACCATAGATATGTGGTACCATATATCATAGCATATCTATAGATATCTATAGATCTTATTATCATTGCTCCATCCTGTGGTGAAGACGACCATCCCATCCTCCCTTGGAATCTCCGGAGATTAATGCTTCGGCGTCCTCGCACTTCCCCGGCAAGAGCGGCCGCTTCAACAGCAACTCCCCGAAGTTGCAGCCCACCTCGAATCCCAAACAGAAATAGCGAGATAAAGTATCTGCGAAATAGATGCATATATATATATAATATATGTGTTTATAGATGTAATATCATGGATTATTATATATATATATATATGAAAGTTTGCTATTTATTCATGTACAAAGTATTGGGACAGCCAGAAACCAGGCCCGATGGCCGCAGTGCTGCCAGATAGCTTCAACAGCGCATTGGTAGATTCCCCATCATGGTGGTACGTTACCCTCCGGTAAAAAAGAAAAGGAGTTTGCGAACTGGAAAATCATCATTCAAACAATAGTTAAATTTTATGTCGCCAGACCACCGCTCATTCTAACTTTTTTTAAAACTTGAAAAAAACGCGACAAAAGCAAAAAAAAAAGAAGGAAAAAACAAAAAACAAATCAGCAAAATCCAAAAAAACACAAAAGCAAAATAAAAGGGACAAAAAAGGGGGAAAAAGGAAAATAAATGCAAAATAAAAGCATAAAACAAGCAAATCGACAAAGCAAAATAAATGCAAAACAAATGCAAATGGACAAGTCCATGTTTTCCATGTTTTTCCCTTTTTGACGTTCCTTTTTTTCCCCATTTATTTTGCTTCCGTTTTTTTTCGGTTTTGAATTTTTGCTTTTTGATTTTCCATATGTTTTCTGTTTTTTGATTTTTTTTCAAGTTTAAAAATCATTAGAATAAGCAATTGAGGTGAACA